CCCGATGGACTCAATAGCTAATGGTCCGTAATCAAGGAGAACCATGAAGTTGGAGACATCAGCTGTGATTTGGCCTTGAGAGCGATGAGCCATGTCATGTCTTCTTTCTCAAGACACGCTACACAGGAATGAATACCTTTCCGTCAAATGTGAAGTGAATTGGTCAGATTCTCTGCTACCGAACGACCACACCCGCTCATTGTAATGATGACGGGGATTATCAATTTTTATTTTTGTAAATCTTCTAAATTCGATCAAAATGTGATTATATGTGAACATCATCATCGTCAGAGATGTTTCGACTTGAAGGCTCACTACAAATCTGTTTGGTTTCTCATCTTCAACATCCCTACAAAAGCAATTATTTTAACGCTGTAATTCTGAAGTGAATTGCTTTTGACTTCGTTTCACGTTAATCGGTTTGTTCTGCGCATGTCTGGAATAAACGTCTGTTTCAATGGACTCATCAACTGTCAAGGAAAAATATCGAAGATCAAGTTAACGTCTGAAACTATAGCGTTTAAGAGCTCAATGCACAAACTGTGTGTAGTAATAATAAAAAAGAATTTCAAGTATTTCTTCAAATGTCAAGTCTCTATCGCTTTAAAAAATTTAAAGGTCGAAAATTATTCAGAAAAAAATAATGAAATAAACGAAAGAAATTGTTCGTATTTATTGTGATTATTAGGTTTATCTGAATTGAAACCTTTACAATCCATATATTCCGTGTCAATGTAATTGACGGGGTAAAGAAATGGCATACATTTATTCTAATAGAAGCCATTAGATTTATTTTATGTCCAGTTTAAGGCGGATCTATTTATGTATAAACCAGATTTTTCTTCACATTTTTTCTCAGAGAAAAATATTTTAAAATGATGTAATTTTAAAAATAATTCCTTAAATGCCGCAAAAGTTGAATATTTGATACAATAACGATTTCATTTCTTGAGTTTTGGTACGTGATTAGATTTTAATATCAAGTTTACGTTACCAAATCCACCGAACTACACGAATTTTAGGTGATCCACTTGTAGCAAAATAAATACTTCTGTTCAAAACATGAGCCCCTACGCAATCAATTTACTTTAATGAACGTTTTCCAATTATTTATAACCTATATATTTTTATTTATTTTTATAAATACGTTTTTTTTTAAATATTGATAGATTTCAGTCAAATTTACCATAACCGCATTTATCAACTGTCTCTACTTCTGACGGCAAAGGTATAGGGCCTGAGTTTTGAGAAAATCTTCTTTTTCCTCCACAGTGATGCTATCGGTCCACTTGTCGCTGGCTGTTTTGTCTCGTTTCCCACTACATTTGTTCATTTGTCCAAAATGTAGATGTAGGAAATATAACTGAAATTCATTAACAATATTTTTTAAATTATTCTTTTTAAAAAAAAATCCAACAACAACGAACTCATTCGCTGGGGAGGATCTGAATTTCAGCAAAGATTACCTTTGGCCGTTCAGTAATGTCTCGTCTTCCCCTTACACTCTTTCCTAAAGGATGATTATGGAGACTCAGTCAGATCTTGGCACAACCAACATCAGAACCAAATTTACCGATTTCCCTTACTTCAAATTTTCAAAATCAAGAAAGACTCGTTGAGCGTCCTCGGCGTCCATAAGTTTATGCCTGGTTGATGTACTAACTAGATTTGAACATCGATCATTAAAAAAAAAACGCAAAAGAAATTGTTTCAGAGGACGCTGTATAGATGTCAGAATATTGTGCTGGACGATCTATAGCCTAAATCCAATTATAACCAATCACCTTTATTAGATCTAATGATTGCTTAAGGCTTGAAATTGACGATCACCATGCAATGTCGATTCATGTGTATTGATTACATTTCAGAAAATGCCTACATACATCGAAACAAATTTATTACTGAGAGTGCATTTTTATGGTTTTTCTAATTATATATATATATATATATATATATATGAATATGCACATGAACAAAATGGAGTAAAAAAGCAGACTGAAAAAAACAGAACAAATAAAAAAAAATGGAAATATTGTTTAAAACCACAACGCTTGAAAACTAGAAATTTTACCAAGAAACATCGATGTCAGGATAAAATTGATATTTAAAAGTTAAGTAATCTTTTCCTATCTATATATTTGTGTATATATATATATATATATATATATATGTGTGTGTGTGTATATATATATATGTGTATATATGTATATATATATATATGTATATATATATATGTATATATATATATATGTGTGTGTATGTATTTTGAACAATAAAAATATTAAAAAATTAAAAATATTAAAAAATTAAAATTTTCAGACACACTGGGTTGTAGATTAATATTCTTTCGCTTTTATTATTATTTCATTTAGATTCCTCGACTAGTTTCGGCCAACATGGCCATCATCAGGAGAAAAATAATTCTCTGCTTGTTGGTAGCAGTGAACTAGAGAAAATATATTGTATATATATATATATATATGTATATATATATATATATATTTATATATTTGTATATGTATATATATTTATATATATATATATATATATATATATATATATATATATATAAATTTAAGTATATATATATATATATATATATATATATATATATATATATATATATATATAAAAATCTTTTACTGATTTCATTCTCTATCTAAGTAAACGAAGCCATTTCTTCATTTATGCTTTAATTAATATCATAAAAAAAAACTGGCAGTTTTCCAGTGTCATGTGTTTTGGTTTTGCATGTTTATATATATTTATGATATATATATATATATATATATATATATATATATATATATATATATATATACATTCGATACTGAATGTAAACTCTCTCCAAAAAAATTTCAAACAGTTTTTAGACAGTGTGGACTTAGGTATCAACACTGCATATTAACTGACACTTTTCCGCCTCAAGCGATCTTCGGACCAACAATATATTTTGAAAAATATCTGTCTATATTTCCGATATGTTGTATTGTAATTTTTTACACAATTCACATTGTTCCAATCATCCGAAGAAATGGCTTGAGCGTACAACGACCGAAACGCCGTGAATATGGCAACAAAGATGAGGACAACAGTCCGAACAATGTAAATAATGTAAATAATTCTGAACAATATCTGATTTTTTTATAATACTTTAAACGCTATATTTTAATAGATGCACATGTTTGAATAGTCGCTC